GCTCTTAAGATAGTAATGACAGCGTGCATTATTACAGAACAAACATATGAACATATTGTTTCAGATAGAAATTGTGATTTGTGGTGGGGAGAGGTTGAGTAGAACTCAGCGATGTGATTTTGGAGACGGGTCAGGTTTTTTTTTTCTCGTGAAAACAGGGGATGTTTGTGGGAGAAAGACCAGCTGTAGAAGTATGACGCGTCATTCATTGGTGATCCATTTTCTCAGTGGGAACGATAGAACTATTAAGAAGGGTCAAGAAATGTAAAAAGCTTGCTGAGTCGCATTTCTTGAACCCCACCTTTTTCTTCCCCCACTTAGTACATCGTCACCGAGTTAACGCTCGCACGTGACGTCATGTACCGGTACCGCCGACCGTTAGGCTAATTTTATATTTAAAAAAAAACAACAAGCACTGCCTTTTTGAGGCTTATGCGACGTTTAATTTGATTACATAAGTTGATGTTCATTAAACAGCCCCTAACACACCTATCACTCGTCCATTTAAACGTCCTAGTTATTTCTGCAAGCTTGCTGTCTTGAGACATTCGGCCCTTTAAAAAGGTATTAAGCTCTCACCGTATAGAACTAGACTACCCATATTAAGCTCCAAAAGAAGCTTGGTGAAAACAGGATGGCCGTCCGATTTTGAAGCTGCTCTGCGCTTTATAAAAAGCACACTAAACGATAAAAAGACACTTATATTAAAGTAAATTATAGTTCTGAATCTTGATACATTAAAAGTGATATTCGGAAATTAAGAGCCAGACAGTCAACATGATATTTCAATTTAAGTCCAAGAAAATAAATGTCTTCAAACGATGGAATATTACTAAATTTTCGCGCAGTTTAGCGAAATTGAATTTAAGTATTTACGTCATCTTACAAAGCGCGATAGCCTACTGGTGCTCTAATGCGGCCCATGCTAATGACCGTATTCCTAACGCCCCGCATTAGACGCGGCTTATTCGTCGGCAGGCATTTGGTGGCAAGCCTTTTTGACGGGGATAATGAGTTAAGTTAAGGCCGTTTTGCCAAATGTCTTAAACTAGCAGGCTTGCAACATTTGTGATGATTCGTTTTAAGCAAGGTATACGTATACTAATGCTTATTTATCGTTATTTTGATTGAACAAAGCATTATAGAGGTTCTCCATCAACCACCTAGGTATTTTTCCCCGTTCACCTCCTTCCATGAGACCGACACGTCATAAATTGCGGAGCCGCCTGAGTTGACGTCACAAATCTTCACTCACTCCCGTAGCAAATCATATGTGACATCATTTATGGACAACCCCATATCACTCACTTGGGTACTTGATATTGACATTTTGACAACAAAGGATAACCAAAATGTGTCTGGCAGGTGGAGACTTACGATCGACCATAATGACAACACGCACTTAAGGGGTGGAGTGGCTGATTATTTTAGATGATGTTTTAAGAGGGAAGCTGGTGGATAATACATTTTGTCTCTCTGTATATATAAATGATGACAAACATTTATTGTTGTCAAAATTATGGCTAGAGATCTTAGATAAGGCAGAGCGAAGCGTAATTTTTTACATTAGGGGTCATCCATAAATGACGTCACGCTTTTTTGACGATTTTTACCTTCCCCCCTCCCCTCCGTCACACGTCGTCACAAAAAGCCAGACCCCCCCCCCCTAAAATGACGTCACACCTCAACCTACAACCCCCCTCAAAATTGCAGTTGAATTTTTTCAAAACATCGATATTTTTTCCAAAATCTTGTCTAAACTATTACAATTTATTAAAACAGTTATCTAAAACGCGAAATAACGTCTAAAATTAGTTTTCTAACATTGCTTTTTTTATAATGCAAACATGTGACGTCGCAACATCTGAAAACTCCCCCCCCCCTCCCCCTCATCACACATCGTCACAAAATTACGGACCCCCCTCCCCCCTACGAGTGTGACGTCATTTATGGATGACCCCTTATGACTTGTTGTGACATTGACAACAAAAATATGACGGAGGTTGGGGTTTAATTAAGGTAAAGAGAAGTAAAAAATGTCATAAGTTACGATAGAATCACTAATTGATGAAAAGAAAAACCTGAAATAAAAATAGTGAACATTCAAATAATAAGAAAAAACGCAAACTATATAGAAAGAGTCTAGTAATAGTAAGATCAAATAAACATTTGTAAAAAAAAAACATGATTTAAAACATGGATACAAGCTGCATCTCACAATGCTTCTAGAATTAATAAAGTTGTTTGTTAGGAAATTCAGTTTTTAAAGAGCAGAATTAAAAAAAATGCTTTGTAATACGGACTATACAACAAGACAATCATATTTAAATACATTTTCATACGAATAGAAATGAAAGGGAAGCTACTCTAAATAACATTTTCTTAAGATGGCTGCTGTTTTTAATAGCAAATTTACTATCTCGAACAGGGTTGATAAAAATTAATTTCGGGATATTTAAATTGATTTAACCATAAATGGTGATCTATTATTCAATTATTTATAATATTTTATAAAAATATACGAAAATATACTCATATTTAATGACATATTCATTAATGCACTCTCTCCTACATTACTAGTTTTGGCCGAATTTACGACGCTAAACTAAGATTTTACCCAGGATTTTATAACCATATTAATTGTAACTACGCTGTCCTTACATTACAAACTGGTAGGGTAGGCCTACTTAGAGTTAGCACTAACGTATTAAATTAGGCCTATACTTTTTTACTATTAATCAATTAGATAGCTAGATCTAGATCTATATAGAGATTCTAGATCTAGATCTTGTTGGTCAGCTGTGAATCTAGTTGACTAGATCTAGATCTAGATCTATATCTAGATCTAAACTAAAATCTAAACTAAAATAGTCTAAATCTTGGTAATTTACTCAGTAGAGATCTAGAATCTAGATCTAGATGTTTAGACCAGACCTAGATCTAGATACTGTACTAGATAGTCTAGACTATATTCTACATATAGATATAGAATTTATAAATAAAATTTATAGATCTACTAGATCTAGCAGATAGATCTAGTTAAAGTAGACACTAATACTAGTGAGTAGTATAGATCTAGAGATAGTCTAGTCTAGAGTAGTCTAGAGAATACTAGAGATAGAGATCCTAGATCTAGGTTAGACTACTCCAGGCTCCTAGCCTAGAGTAATGATGTTATCTCTCTCTACAATCTGAAGTTTAAACAAAACTTCTTTAAAACTAGATCTAGATCTTAATCAACACTTCTAAATTCTAGATCTTTGACTTTGAGACAACTACATTAATAAATTGTCTAGACTATATTTAGATCTAGATCTAAAATCTAGTCATAGTGCTCTATAGTCTATAGGCCTACTAGAATCTAGAATTTACACTTTAAAAGACTTAACTTTAAATAGTGTAAGTTGTAAAAAATCTAATTTCTATTGAACATTAATCAAGATCTGCATTCTATAAGAAAGTGACTATTCGTAGTTTTACTTCTTTTGTCTTAGACTTAGATGCGGATTTAATTTAAACTCAAAACTTTTGAGTTAGCAGCCTAGCATTCAGGTTGTGGCTAAATATCTTTCATTCATTGATATATAATGGAATAACTACTCGTATAAGTAAAGGTGTTATATTTCTTAATACAATCTTAACTTAATTACATGACTTTATTTACTTTATAATACTTTTAAAAAATTTTCTAACCTTAATTGTATGCTTTCAGATGTTGAAGTTTTTTACGGCTGCTGTGTGTTCAAATGCCATTCTGTCCTAGCAAGAAAAGAGATTGTATTTAAGGACAACTTTAAGTGGTTGAGCTGTGTAAATATTGTAAGCTATATTTAATTCTTTGAATTGTGATTAAAATCCTGATAAATGTTAAATAGTTCAATTTATTTTAACTTAAGCTCATTTTTGGTGCTATTTTTTAAATTTTAAAAACACGCGAGTACACAGCTTATTTGATAACCTACATTTTATAACAAAAATCAGCAATTCTATGATTTTTTTTTTTTTTATCTTATTAATAATAATGTAAAAAGTTTATTGTATTATCCTTATGTAATATATATGTATTATAAAAAATATTATGTTAAACTTTGGTGTATTTTTTTCTGATCTGATAGCTATAGGTTTGTTGTAACAACATTTATCTGAGAACAGAAAGGTGTGTAGTGTATTCAAGGTTCAAGCTGAATCATTTAAGAGTCTCCAGATTGTAAGTGTTGAAAATTTTAGAAACTTACTTTTCTTTTTAATTTCCTATACATAACTTTTGTATAATTAATACAAATCTAAAAATGTTTATATAATTTTTAAGATTATTACTGGTATATAATGATGATTATTTTATATTGGCCAGGGGCAATTCCTACAGACAGCATATAGAAAACAGGAGTCGCCAAGATCAGGTAAAAAATTAGTTGATTGAAATTCACTTTAAAATTGTCAGGTGATTTATTTTACAATTCTGAAATCATCTATGTTATTTCTTGTCAAACTGTACTGTTAAAACATGTGTCTACTGTTTACAAAATTTAATAATATTAATCATAGCTTTATTTAAAATCTTTAACAGTAGGTACAGAGGCCTTTTTTCACATTGGCTGTTTAAAAAAATATCAATAATGTATTAACTAAAGGGCGATTAAATATTAAAGATGTAGTGAGAAATCAAACTGTGGAAATATATCTGTAAAATTTACATGATTTACTATTATTTATTTGGCATTTGTGTCATTATGTGTTACTGCAAGATAGAAATTTAATGTCTACATTATTTCAGTTGTGACAAGCTGTGAAATTCAGAACAAGCAAATAATGAGTGACGAATCAGGTGTATTCCTTCCATGTAAGATTTACTAAAGTATAAGGCAAACATAATGTAAACAATTAAATATATGTAGTGGTTTAACATCTAGATGACTTAAGTGAAGTTTATTTAAATTAAAAAATTTAATATTATATATAGCATTTATTTTTCTAGAGACATAAATTATTTGTTTCAGCAGGAAATCATGAAGCTGAGATGTGCTATGGAGGAGAAGCTGATCTACACAAACATGTTACTGGCTGTAAGAAGAATCCAGGTCACAAAGATTTTATACCTCTTAAAGATTTCAATGCAAGTTGTCTCCCCTTACGTTACCATGGCAAACTCATGTCTGAGACAATCAAAACATTGGCAGCCATAACTGTCCAGGTAAAGACTAAATTCACCAGTCTAGAGAGACCAGAGTTTTACCCAGGCACTCAAGTTCCATATCCATGTTATAATGATAGAGGAAGTCACGTGATGAGGTTAGGGACTGGGAGGGTGTATTGTGTGAACAAGTACAGAAGGGAAACTTGTCGTTGTGCCAAGTGTCAAGTCTCAGCCACACCCAGCAAAGTGTGGGGGGAGGTTTATGTGGTGACAGCCACACACGTGGTGTTTGATGACAGTGAGGCGAGACAGACCAGGTGTGTTTTAGGTTTTGATGACAATAAAATTCCTGGGGTCAGTCTTGATGGCTGGAGGGTGATGTGTGGGGCAGACATTGAGGGAGACTGGTGTAAGTTGAGTTACGTGACATGTGACTTAAAGTTTGTTGAGGAACTTTACAAGATGTGTCAGTACTTTGATGGTCTATGTAAGGAAGTAAGGTACAAATACGGGGGATTTGATGATGAGAACAAGTTGACCGTTATAGTGTCACATCCTCATGGCTGTCCTAAACAGGTCTCTGTAGGACAATGGACACACAAACATGCTAGGTATGGCTACATGACCAGGTACTGGTACACAACATGTACATGTCCAGGCTCCAGTGGAGCGTGTGTCTACAGGCCGGAGTATGACAGGTTTTCGTGTTACCATCCCCACAGTGGATCAAACTCTGAAGGAAATTATAGTGGGGAGTGGTGAGACTGATGTAACTGTTGGTTCTCTCCCCTTGTCTACACAATGTAAACAAACAAAATGGTGGAACCTTTACTGTCATTAAACTGTTTGTGTTAAGACCTGCATGTGTTGTAAACATTTTATTACATTTAAATGATTAAAACAAATGTTTTGATTGATGTAAACCGTTTTAACCAAATTAATTTGCATATACATTGATGAATTTTAGAGTTTTTTTGTTTCGAATGTTGTAAATAATTTGCTTATAAGTTTTGTCGGCAAATTGTTGTCCTACACCTACAGAGTTTCTTACAGCCCCCCCCCCCCCCCCCGAAAAATGTTTACCTCCCCCCCCCCCCCCCCCCGAACGAAATGAAATTTATATAATTTATATAGAAATATATACTTTTAACAGTGTCCGCCCCCCCCCCCCCCCCCCGCCGAAGAAAGTCTACCGCCCCCCCCCCCGAAAATTGTGAGTGCCCCCATTTCCCCCCCCCCCCCCCCCCCCCCGGAGAAAAAAGTCTGGAATAAACACTGTACACCTATTCATTGGCTGGCTATTACCTGTAAATTGTAAATAAAATATAACCTATCTTAATTAATGTCATTTTCGTACTGTTTGTTTTTGTTTACAAAATGTTCACACTAGACAACTTTAAATGGTAAAATAAAATATCTTTCTACTGTTGTTATTTTAATCTTTGTTGATGTTTAAGTTGTTGTTAAAAAGCACATGTTCAATGTTGTGATGTCGATGTTCTCGCCAGGCTGTCATGGGTTGTAAGTTTAAACTTTACAACAAAGTCAAATTCTTTATACCTATACACCTGTAAGATTAATTTGAATAAGATAATAAGAAAAAGGTGAAATTCTAATCACTTTAAAAAATTTGACACATCGCATGCTATATTTAGATACTTCGTAGCTTCTAGACATGCTCCAATAGAAATGAAAAAATAGTTTGATGCTGTCATTGACTGACATTTGTGTTAACATTGTTGTCATTGACTGACATTTATGTTAACATTGTTGTCATTGACTGACATTTATGTTAACATTGTTGTCATTGACTGACATTTGTGTTAACATTGTTTTTCATTCTATTTGAGTTGAGATCCTTTAACAATCATTGACTGTGATATTATAATACAACTTTTGTAGAAGTTGATAAATCGGCTATAATAGAACAACTAGTGTGACTTTAAAACATTGAATCAAAGTTATCAAACATGAAAACTGTAAAGCAGGGCGTTAATAAGCAACTGGAGAAATGGGACGACGTGGTCGAGTAAAAGAGTAAGCACATTTTGTCCCCAAGGACACGAGTTTGATTCCCATGTTCGATTACCTTTCTTGATGCACAGATCTAAAGTGTACCTGGACATGTTTGGAGAAACATAATTCGGCTGGGTGTTCCGTGTGGACTCAATGTCGTACTAAGTCATGGGTTTAACACCAACACATGAACTTTCTCTGCCGAATCGACTGCATGATATGCAAGTTGGCTTTACTTTAAAGTTGCTGGTCAATTTAAATAAAATATGTAACACAATGTTTAACACAACTGTTACACCAATTCAACTTATGTTGGAACATCGATCGGTGGCGTCGCTAGGTCCGGTGTCACCTGGTGCAGCACTTTGTGGTCTCACCCCACCCCCACCCCCCCTCCCCAAGTCACAAGTGTATATATAAATATATATGATATATGTATAGGCTATTAACGATGTTTATCTTTAGTCTGTTTATAATACAGTTGGGTATCATCATCCCTACCCTCTTGTAATAATAGTCGATTCGTACTTAAAAGACTATTTAACTTTAATTAATTATTAATGGAACTGGCAAAAAAAGCGTTTTTCTTAAGTACGTTTTGCCTTTTTGCTTACATTGGTGACACCCCCCAAATAGTTTCACCCGGTGCGGTCCGCATCCCCGCCCCGCCCTCGCTACGCCTCTGATATCGATACCTTGTCAGTTAAAGCAAGAAGATAAATTAGGGACAATATCGGTTTCATAACTTTACTCTCTGTATGAAATAATCATCTTTGGACTAAGCTAAGCTATAAATAATGCGAGCTCTAAATTACAATAAACCGTTTTGTGGTCAAAGGGAAGTAACAATGAAAAAAAATTGAATGACAAGTATTTACATAGTTGTTTCCCTGTTTCATTAAATTTATGTTTTAATTTTTATTTTCTCGTATACGATAACCTATAGAGAAAGTACTGTAATCGTGCAAAAGAAATCACAGATTTTTACATAGTTTTGCAATCTTATTCGAATGTTTGTGTGTGTATATATATATATGTATATATTATATCAAATGTTTAGTTCTGTATCAACTATTTAGCGATTTCCGATAAAACGGAAGTGGAACTTATTCAACTTTCAATTTTTAAAAGCCTATAACTTGAGTACTGTTTAAAATAGTTAAATGAAAGTTTACATGTAAGTAAAACAAATTATTTTCTGCCTTGTCACACATTTTGAGTAATTTCCGTTGACTGGAAGTAGTAATTTACGCTATTTCAGTTTTCTCAAAAAAACGCATGTGAATGTATAAAGTACTAATATTATTATACACATATTTGTTTTGGCGTTCACTTGGTGCGCAATGCCTTTTTTCTACGAGATTCTATTCTATTTTTAAAAGTTTAAGTAATTATAAATGGATTAAAAATCATGTCTATCTACCCCGAGTTGCCATCCCCACAGTGTTATAGTTAGGATAGTTTTAAAGTTAAAGTTTTGGGAAGATCAATCAATAAAAAAATTCTTGTCCACGAACCAGCTTGCAAAATACTAGTTTAAAATATTTGAATTATAGTCCACATTCTATGGTAAGATTAAGTCAATTTTAGCATCAAGATCGGTTAGTTGCAGTAATTTCTTCAAAATTACTTCCCTATGTTTTAGCCTACATCAGCTCCTGAAATGTAAGCAGTTCCTTTGTTGTTAGAAGAAAAAAAAGTTTATAAGAGAGTGAATTAAATTGACAACAAGATAAGTACAACAGAATGTTACGTCACAGAGTATACTGTACATGTAACAGATGAAGTAGAGTTCCTCAACAGCGACACTTGTAGATTTGTTTTGTTGAACGTTCATGGCAAAACTGTCAAATATTGAAACGTTCTAGATGAAATATTTTTGTGAGAATCAAAATGTGCCTGTCTAACTCAGAATCAAGTTGACATCAACTGTTCAGCATAATGCGTCACAAGTCAGCATCTCCAGCAGTAGATAGAGCGCTCAACAGTTAGCCGTGTCATCCTCTACCTAGGTGGTGACTGTGAGCCCCAAACATTACCCTTGCGGTGTGTCACCAGCAGTAGATTGGGCCATCCTTGTGATGTGTCACCAGCAGTAGATTGGGCCATCCTTGTGTCACCAGCAGTAGATTGGGCAACCCTTGTGGTGTGTCACCAGCAGTAGGTTGGGCCATCCTTGTGTCACCAGCAGTAGATTGGGCCATCCTTGTGGTGTGTCACCAGCAGTAGATTGGGCCATCCTTGTGTCACCAGCAGTAGATTGGGCCATCCTTGTGGTGTGTCACCAGCAGTAGATTGGGCCATCCTTGTGTCATCAGCAGTAGGTTGGGCCATCCTTGTGGTGTATCACCAGCAGTAGATTGGGCCATCCTTGTGTCACCAGCAGTAGGTTGGGCCATCCTTGTGGTGTGTCACCAGCAGTAGATTGGGCCATCCTTGCGGTGTGTCAGTAGATTGGGCCATCACTTCGTTGTGTCCCAATCAGTAGATTGGGCCATCCTCGTGTCACCGGCAGTAGATTGGGCCATCCTTGCGGTGTGTCAGTAGATTGGGCCATCCCTGCGGTGTGTCACATATGTGTAAAACCTCCAAACTACGGCCCGCGGGCCAGATGAGGCCCACGAGGTCCTCTCATCCGGCCCGCGGCGATCTTTTGTCTTTTTTTTTTAATGTAAGTAATTCAAGTATATAATCTTAATCTTAAAATCATGTCTATATTCAGAGTTGTTTAATACAAAAATATTCGAGAAAGTTTGGAGAGATCACTCCCGGTTTTTTTTTTCAAAACACTATCTGGCCAGAAATGAGTATCCTATGTTCGTATTTATGTTTGTATATACATATATATATATATATATATATATATATATATATATATATATATATATATATATATATATATATATATATATATATTCGTTTTTCCGTCTATGTGTCTGTCTTTTATCTTTTTGTACACAACTACACTTTTCATCCGATCGTAATGAAACTTTGAAAAGTTTATGAGAATACTCCTGGGAAAGTTTCTGCAATAAAATAAAACGTTTGGATGGCCACACCCATGTAGCAGGGTCTCAGTAGTTGCCAGAGTTACCCAGTGGCTATCTCAGCACTTGGGATCTGTTCAGTAGGCCTTTTGCATGGTGGGACAGGGGTATTACTTGACTCAATGGTCCTACAGTACCAGGTGCATAAGTTGTCATCACAGTGGTCGGGTTACCAGAAGAACCATCACACGTGAGCACTGTGGCACCCCCACACGTGAGCACTATGGCACCCTCACACGTGAGCACTATGACACCCTCACACGTGAGCACTATGGCACCCTCACACGTGAGCACTATGGCACTCTCACACGTGAGCATATGGCACCCCCACACGTGAGCACTATGTCACCCTCACACGTGAGCATATGGCACCCCTAGCTAAAAAGCCGATACGGTATAAGGACAGCCGTTGGAACATGACGTCAACAATGCGCAACGTGAACGGTTAATGCAAACAGAGAAAAGGCCCACGGCGAAGAGCTGATGACAACAAATCATAATAATTGTTTATTCTTCCGTTTCCACATTCTCCGCATGCCAACCAAAGTTTCTTCTTAAAATTTTAAAACCGTGATGTACCACTTTATGTAGATACAGTATTAAGGGTCGTCCATAAATGACGTCACACTCGTAGGGGGGAAGGGGGTCCGTAATTTTGTGACGGTCTGTGATAAGGGGGAAGATGGGGGGGGGGGGGGT